AGAATATATATATATATATATATATTGTTTCTCATCCTTAAAAATTTGAAATTATATTTTTAGTTTATATTTTTATGAGATCATTTTTAATTACTTATGTATTTATTATAAGGTTAAGTGACCATCTTATGTGGTACTATGATGGGCTATAATATCTATTAATGTGTCACATTTCTAAAACAAAATTATAGATTCCTAAAATACAAGAACTAAAAGTAATGTTTACTTAAAATGATAGGAAAAAAAAATTATAAAGACCAAAATTAAAACATATTCATTTTATAGAGATTAAAAACATATTTAAGTCTAATTTTATTTTTAAAAGTAATATAAAGATTATCTCATATTGTATATATTTTTCAAAAATTTTGGTCCCCCTCTGGTCATGGGCCCAAGGTGGTTACAACTCTGAACAATGCCCAAGGTTTACCATACAATTCACCATCTAGTTTGTCATTAGTAAACCTCATCAACTAATTTCTTTGGCATTAGAAAATATTTGAGAAGAGAAAAGATAATATTTGTGTACTTTCATGATAGATTCAACAAAGTGGCCTTAGAGATTAAAGATCTCAACTTGGAAATTGCTTTGCACCACCTCACCTCGCTATTAACGTTGGGACTAGGGCTAGAAATAAGTCAAGCTAAGCTAAGCTCGATTCAGCTCGGCTCGATTCGATAACATTTGGCTTAACTCACAACTCAACTTGAGTTTGGCATGAACCTTTTTTCTAGTCAAACTTAACTCAACTCAAACTCATTAGTAGCTCGATTTAGCTTGTTAGCTCAAATCACATAAATCAAGACTCAATTTTTTTAATTCAAAATTTTAATTTAATAATAGATTTTAGATAAAATGATTATTTTTTTTAAACAAAACATAACTTATTTTATCAACTTTGTAATATTATAATGTACAACTCTATAGTAATATGATTACAACTAAAGTCAGTATAAATTAAAACTACTTCATCTTGTATAAAATAATAGAAAACCTAGTCCACATAAAATTCTAAAGTGTTCACTTTATTATTATTATTATTGTTATTATTATTATTATTATTATTATTATCTTATAACTAACTTTTCAAAGTTCTTTCTTCTGTACATTCAATGTACTCTACGGATAGGGGAATACATAGAGTTGAACATAGTAAAATAAGAAATTGAAAGATTTCGTTGAAATTGTTCGTTTGGAAATTTCCCGAAAAGCTAATCATAGGTTCTTCTCTCTATCGGAACAATAGGGCCGTTATGCTCATTACTAAACTTGTTGAAGAGATAAAATAGAACCAAGATATGGCTGAGAGCCCTCACAGTCCAGGCACAACGATGCAATTATTAGGGGCGCGCTCTACCACTGAGCTAATAGCCCGTCGTGCAGGCCTCCCGCTGGGGCCCGCTATGCCAAAAGCAAGAGAAACCCCATCCCTCTCTTTCCTTTTTTCACCCCCCATGTCGCCACATGGGGGTGAAAAAAGGAGCTCCTATCAACTTGTTCCGACCTAGGATAATACGCTCATGAGTTTAGTCTTATTTCACAGTCGAGAAACAAAAATTTTAATAAGATAAAATTAAATAAAAAGCTAATTATATAATTATATGTCAAGTTGATTTATGAACTAAATAAGTTGAAATATACACAACTGAAATTCAACTCATTTATTTATCGAACTCAATCTTTAAATCAAGTTTACCTATTTGGTTCACGAATAAAGTTTAATGAGTTAATTATCGTATTGAGTTTCGAACTATTTTTAGTTGGTTCGATTCATTGTCACCCCAAATTAGAATTGTTCATCAATAGTCATTACAAAAAAGGCTCCCTTAATATGGATGATCTGTGCCAACGTGCCAACAAGTACATACAAATGAAAGAATTATCAAACTTCCACAATCAAGTTCAAGCCGAAACATCAACAATCAAAGGTAAAAAATAAATGGACAACTTTCTCAAGAATCGAAGTAAGGAGTTGGTACCACAAGAACAATCCTTAAGAGGACCGAGATACCCGTAATATATTCCCCTCAATGCTAGCAAAACCAGAGTGCTCGAAAAATTCCTTGCAATGAAAATACTTTTCGTATCGAAGTGTGCCAACAGACTCCAAGGTCGATCCCTCAAAATCTTGTCGATATCACCAAAATCGAGGGCATTTGACAAAGAAGTATACAACCCTCAGAGACAAAATTGAGGGTTTAATTAAATAAGGATTGTACCTGTATAAGGATACACCAATGATCTTCTTGTATTCTGAAGGCCGAACGAGTGTTCTGAACGAGTATTCCGATCCAACGTGAGTAGACGAGTTTGTACCTGCAAAAAGCACTCTGATGCTCAAGTCAGCACAAGCACGGAAATCTAGAGTAATTAATGAACAGTGACGTTACCTTTTGACCTGAGCTATTTATACTGACAATCGTGGACCCTGGACCTTATGGGCCCTGTAACATACTTACCGTATTAGGTAATACTTCTTAATCAGCTAATTAATCCTTAATCATTTATTAAAGATAATTAATAAAGATAAGCCAATCCAGGTGACCGATTGGCAATCAGCCACCTGGTTCGGCCATTCGGCGGCCGATAAGAGGGTGGCTGAACGCCCCTACCCGTACAAGGACATTTAAGAGATTTCGTTGAATGCCCTCCATAGCTTTGGGAAAATGAGCATTCCTCAACCTGAAGGCATGACGAGAATAAGATAAATAAAAAAAAATTTACTTTATTATTATTATAATTTATAATTTAAAATAAAAGTTAATGCAAGAGGGACACTTCATGCACACTGTGTACACTCACGCACAATTGTAACATGAATAAAATAATTTTATCAATAAAAAAAATTTTATAAATATTTTTTATATCCTATTTGAAATATTCTAAATAAATAATTATAAAGATGAAGGAAAAAAAACCAAAGATACAACTGCTAAATTTTATATTTTATATTTTATATTTTTATAAGCATGAAATGTAAAACATTTAATTTAATAAAAATGTAAAAAATATTAATAATTAATTTTTGTATTATAAATTTATTTATTTAATTATATTAATAATATATATATATATATATATATATATATTACATAAATAAAGATATTTATTTATGAAATTTAACAATTTTTTAAAGTCTAAATCTAATTTATTTAAATAAATAGATATTTTTAAAAATATAAAGACATATCTATAATAATATATAAAGGAGATACACTTTTTAGTAATCACCTTGATCTCCATTTTTTTTTACCATTATACCCTTTTATTTTAAAAAATTAAAAAAAAATATTTATTAATCAAATTTAAGAACTTGAAATTAATTAATTTATACTAATATATAAAGGATACTAATTTCAATAATTACTTTTAATTTTCATTTTTACATGGATCATTTTATTTTTTGTATATTTTTAATAATTACTACCTTTTTTATGAATAACTTCTCATTTTTTTTAATATAATACAGGCACAGAATGCCTTTTTTCTATTAGTTTTTATTAAATAGGTAATAGCTTGATGGAGTTGGGTTGTTAAACTAGTTTTTGTTTGAAATAGGGCTGAAGTTGGGCCTGATTATCCACCGTGACGGGCCGGGTAAGTGGAGGGAGATGAACAAGTGGGGTTTCATCCGGAAAATATAAAGGGCTTAATATTAGGGTTTTGTTTTAACCAAAGCAAGGGAGCGAGAGGCATTGTTGGTTCTTGGTTACAACTCTCTCTGCCAACATGGGTAAGTAAAGTAAACACATTTCATTTTCAACATTCTCAATTGTTAGCGAAACCTTAAAGCTATGTGTTTGTGTTTGTGTTTGTGTGTGCGATAATCTCTGATGGGATTTGTTGTTGATGATGCGAATCAGGTATTTCCAGGGATTCTATGCACAAGAGGCGTGCCACTGGTGGCAAGAAGAAGGCCTGGAGGAAGAAGAGAAAGTATGTCCCTTTATTCTTTTAATTGTTTGTTTTTCGATTGGAACCTTTGTTGGGTTGTGGAACTGAAAATTGAAATGTGTTTTAAGTTTTACTGCGATTTGGGAATTTGAAATCTGTTTGTTATATTAGCTGGAACAATAGTGGATCTAGGTTTAGTTAATCTTTAGGTTTGGATTTTGTTAAGGAAGTGAAAAATTAGAGGGTTGTTGACTTGTTGTACTAGAAATTCACTCTGAAGTTATTCAACATGAGAACCTCTATGAAATCTTAGCTTTCGATTCATGACTATGTGCTGCACTTTTTCCTTTATTTTTCTATTAATATTTGGATTATCTGTGAGTGCGTATTTTACTCTGCTGTTTCATTTTTTGCTGCGGATGATTCGTCTTTTACCCAATTCTAAACTTTGAGATGAAGTGTATTCCGAAGCTTTACCATGTTATGCAGTTCTTATCTCATATTTTTTTAAGTACACAATCATTTGACAAACAAAGGGAGATGCAACAATTAGGAGTATAAAATTTTCTTCTTAAACAATTAAACTGTGAGTGAAAAGGTCAATGATTACAATGCTTTCCAGTATCTTTTTGCAAATCAAATACAGTTTATTGATTGAGCCTTGCTTATAGCTATTCTTTGCTATTAAATTTCCTTTAGTTTTCTTTAATTTTGTTTTAAACAGAGAACTTATATAAATTCTGTTATGTCTATTTCAATAACTTGGATAGCATTTTTAATTTTAATATTTGTTGACATTTGTTTTGGCTATGATAATATTATAGTCTAATAATTATTTCCTAAACTAATATTTAGGTGGTTTTATATAGGTATGAGCTTGGTCGTCAGCCTGCTAACACTAAGCTGTCAAGCAATAAGACAGTAAGGAGGATCCGTGTTAGAGGTGGCAATGTGAAATGGAGGGCACTGAGATTGGATACTGGAAATTACTCCTGGGGAAGTGAAGCTGTAACTCGCAAGACTCGTATACTTGATGTGGTTTACAATGCCTCAAACAATGAGCTTGTGCGGACTCAGACACTTGTCAAAAGTGCTATTGTTCAGGTTGATGCCGCTCCATTTAAACAGTGGTACCTTCAGCACTATGGTGTTGATATTGGTAGGAAAAAGAAGTCTGCTGCCAAGAAGGATTCTGCCGAGGTGATGATGTCTTTATCGTTTTCTTTTATTGTTCCTTCTTTACCCACAGTTTATGTTCTCATAATATTAGTAACTTTCAACCAATATTTATTAGTTATACTTGTATGATTTTACTATTTTAAGTTGCCTGTTTTGGTTGTTTAAATAATGTTGGATATGAGATGTGTTGAAAGTAAAACCAATTACTCTGATGCATTGTATATCAGTTTTTTTTTATTCATTGGATACATCTTTTTAACATGTCCAGAAAAATAATTTTTTATCCGAATCAGTGGATTTAACTAATCTTAATAGTTAACTTAAATTAAGAATCTTTGATGTTACATCTGTTGTCTAAATGAAGGGTATTTGCAGTTGTGTTTCATAAAACTACTTCATATATTGTGTTACTAGCAGGTACAGTTTGCTGAAAGTGAAACATCTATTATTGTTTCTGCTGTGATGAGAAATATATAGATGTTTTCTGTTGCTATTTTGTGTAATTCTTTCTATTGTACCTGATATTAACTTTATAAATCATGATGGCACTCTAAATTGTTCAATGAATGGATGAAGGGGACTTCTCATGTATAGAAGCTAAAGTCTATTTCTTTATCTTGGGATGTAACTTGCAGGAGGGTGATGCTACTGCTGTTGCTACTGCAGAAGAATCCAAAAAGAGTAATCATGTGCAGAGAAAATTGGAGAAGCGCCAGAAGGATCGAAGTCTCGATCCCCACATTGAGGAGCAGTTTGGTGGTGGTCGTTTGCTTGCTAGCATTTCATCTCGACCCGGTCAATGTGGCAGAGCTGATGGGTAATTTACTTAAATTGTGATTTTGTTAAATATGTTTATAAAGAACTTCATTCATATGTGTTGTTTTGTTTTTTCTGAATTATGCAGCTACATTCTGGAAGGTAAGGAGTTGGAATTTTACATGAAGAAACTTCAAAGAAAGAAGGGAAAGGGTGCTGCTTGATTTTAGTGTTTACCAAATTTTTATGTGGCTTTAGTTGTTTTTATTTGTTGCTGGTTCCATTTAAGGGGATGTTTTGTGCTACAGGACATCGTTTAGTGCGAACTATTTTATTAGTCCTTTGCAGATTGACAATTTTGTTTATCCCTCTTTCAATGAAGAATTTTAAAAGTTTGGTTATTTAAGAATGATTGTATAATTAACTCAAGGGTTTGTTTATTAGGAGCAAAGTGAGAAGGTTAAGTTTGATACTATTTGCACTCAACTTCAGAGAAATTAAAATAGTAAAATATATTCAAATAAACTACTTCACCACCTTTATAAATTTTATAGAATGTTTTCGTTTTATTTAATAATCTTCTCCATCCTTTGTAGTTTGATTATGATATCAAATTTCCTTTTATTCCATTTACAACAATATTATTCAATATTTTACCGAGTTTTCAATTCCTGCTTCAGTTATGCGTACAGTTAAGTTTAATTAGTTGTGTTTGAATAAGGGGAAAAGACCAATCATTTGTACATTCCTTTTTACATGCGTGTTTTATGTGTGTATATATATATATTTATATTCATAAAATTATTATTTTGATATTAAGAAAAAAAAAATTGATCAAGTTATTCAAAAATACCAAACCTGAGATTATTCAAGTTGAAAACTTAAATCAAATTCCACCTTGTTAGAATGTTAAAATTAGAGATTTGCTATAATATTCCTATTATTTTTTAATGAGTACATCACCAACGGGTACCCTTTTAATATGACAAAATATTATTTTATTTTATAATTAATCCAATAATTCAATATATAGCTATTTCACCTTGTCGGATAAATTAGTAATTATTACGTTGCTCATAGGTCACATCAATGTTTTTAACAATTTTGTTTATCTCTTCTATCTCTATATTTTTCTTTGAAATTGAAGTCGTAGAAGTTTCTCGAAATTCTCTCTCAAATTTTTCTCTCTTATATATATATATATGAATTGGATTATTGCAACATGATTATGGTTAGTTCATCAATTGATTTTAGGTTTCAAGAATTACGATAAAATTTGAGTTTTTAATCTTTTTATTGAATAAATTTTTTGTTTTAGGTTTAATTTTTTTTTCATGATTATGAATTTCGTTTTGGATCTAGAACAAAGTTTGAAAATTAATTTAGACCTAGAAAAATCTAAATCACCTAATTTAACTGGTTATTGTTTTTGAATTTTATGAAAATTGTGAGATTGCAATTGTGTTTCATGTTTTGATGGAATTCATAGATCAAGATTTAGATCTATGTTTTTGATTAAGTCCGTGTTGAATTAGGTTGATTTAGAATTTAAATTTATTGTTGAACTATGAAAATTTTATCGTACTGATTGAAACCTCAAATAAATACTTATTTAATTGAATTTTTTATTCTTAATTATCTGTTTTGTTGATTAAATACTATGTTGAAATCATAGTTTTAAAAACCGGACCGGTCATCGAACCGGTTAAGGTACTGCGTCAGTGGGTCAAAGATTGAACCGGTGGGTCACTAGTTGAACCGCATGACTCGGTTTTTATTTATTTAAATTAAAAAATATTCATATTAAATATATTTTATACTTATAAATTTTAATAAATTCATATCTTATTTTAAATTTTAATTTTTCTATCTTATTTAAAATTATTTTTATTTTTATTTTATAAAAAATACATAAAAATTTATATGTTGAACGGTATATTAATACAAATTAAAAATATAGATAATATTTACATATATAATATGCTTGCAATTAATATCACAAAATAATATATGTAATATTTACATAGATATTATATTATTAAATATATAATTTAAAATTAATAATATACTATAAAAATTATTTAAGTTGTATATATTACAAACAAATATATTAGAACAAGTAGTTATTGTTATATTTAATAAGACTCCATGCTTTTCCATTAAGAGATTCAATTATTATTATTATTTTTGTGATTTATGGTCCCTTAAAAAATTTTATTAGAAAAAAAAAAGTGGTTGAACCGGTTTGACCCACCGGTTCACCGGTTGAACCGGAAAATTGACCAGTTCAATCCGGTTTGAAACGGGTCAACTGCATAACCGATCCAACTTAAGATTCAAACCGGCTGGACCACCGGTTCCCGGTCTAACCGGTCCGACCGGCCGGGTCGGTCCGGGTTTTAAAACACTGGTTGAAATATTAAATCCCGTTGCTAATAACTTAGGTTGTTCCCTGTATTACAACATTTTAGAAAAAATTTAGTTTATTTTTAATAGTGACTCGACAACGCTATTAGTTGTTGTATCACATCTTATTAGTAAGATAAAATAACAATGATTTCCCAACTTTAATTTTGTATTATAGCTTGAAGTTTGAAGAGGTTTTGTTATAAAACAATACTTGGTTATTGAAGTCTGGGGAGACTTTGTTATTCTTATAATACTTGGGTAGTTAATTGAAAAGGTAAGTCAAAGAATACTTAGTTTGTGCTAGAAGTGACTTGTGAAAGAATACTTGTATCTTTGCAAAGATAATGAAACTTGATTGGGTTGATCAAGAACTAAATGTAATCTCGGTGATTGAAACAAACCTGTGGAAGAAAGATAAACACTAGAAGGGTGGGTTGAACAATGTGTATAAAAAACTTGCACTTTTTGTGTAGTGAAGTAGTATCGTTAGTTAGATGGAGTGCGAAGAAAAAATAGATGAAACACTAGGTATTTTTATACTGGTTCATCTCAACTACTAAGATTACGTGCAACCAGATTAAGTTTCACTATCTTTCAACAAAGATATGAGTATTCTTTTAACAAGCTACTTTTGTCTCAAACTTTTCTTTGACTTGACTCTTCAAACAACTACCAAAGTATTATTTTACAGTCAAGCCTACCAAAGCTTAAAACAAGTATTCTTTTATAGACAAGTCTCTTTAGGCTCAACCTTACAACAATGATTATAAAGATGTTTCATCTCATTTAGACATTATACAACCAATGTAAAGCAATAAATCTTTTTACAAGAAAGAATGAAGTTTATACAAAGAGTGTTTCTTTGTGTATGTTTCTGTACAAGTCTTTTCTTTTCTTTCTTAAGTTTCAAATCTTCTAATATAGTAGCTTGGAGAAGATGACTGTTGCAATATTTTGAGTCTAGCTCACAAGTTTCTTTCATCTGTCTTCATTGTCTTTCTTTACGATGATAGGTAATTGTTGATTCATTTAATGCAAACATTAAATGCATTTCACCACATGATACCTTTTATCTGATCAATGATGCTACTTATCATCTTTCGATACCAATCGGAGGTTGTAGAAGCAATACTAGTGTAATGTAGCTACAACAATGACTTTATCTTTTTTTCTCTGTGATTTTAGGAATTTTCGTCCTTGGTTTTTACGAAAAGCATGACTTTTTCTCTTTAACATATTTGTAAGTTTCAAGATGGTTTTTTTGTTCGATCTGCTAACAAATGAAGCATTCAAAATAAAATTTGTCATTAGTTTCAATAAATAATGAACATTTATTGTATATGAGACAAATTGCATGCTTTGTTTGATATATATATCATCTTATAGATAATTTACGTCTTACACTTCGTATGATAAATATTTTTCAAAGACATTTTCTCTTGTAAAAATGTTTCATTTGTTATTATTTAAACTTCAAAACATAAGGAATCCAAGATTGTCTTGACTTAACAAAACCAATATAAAATTATGAAGAGGGTTCAAACGACACCGGTGTAACTTTTACTAAGCGTTACACCGCTCAATAACTTTAAATTAAATGTGAATTTTGTAAATCCAACCTTTAGATTGAAAGTTCTTTACTCTTAGATCATATATACAAAATTTTATATTAATCCAAGATGATTTGATACTTCATTCTTATAAAACAAAATTGACGTAATATATTTATTTTAAAATATACTAAAATATGAACACTTTAATTACCGTCAAGTTGTTGTTCAATTTTAACAAAATTTGATATACACATATAAAGTGATATGAATTTTCAATCTAACGATTAGATTTACAAAATTCACATTTAATTTAAAGTTATTGAGTGGTATAACACTTAGTAAAAGTTACACCGGTGTCGTTTGAACCCTCCTCTAAAATTATTGTGTTATTTGCTCTTAACTCTTCATCTGTACTATCAAGGTTTAGATACTACTTCGTTGTTTCAAAAAAGTGTTGAGTTTTTTATTAATACTATTCAACTCCTTTTTAGTGTCTTTCTTTTCTCCACACCAAATATATTTGAAAGCTAACATCTAAGACTAAAACTTTTATGCATATCAAAATAATTAATTTGGTTATTTAAGACTCATTTAAAGGCTTATAAATTACATACATTACTTTTCATGCATAAAACATGAGACTCATCTTCTAACTCACACAACTTGATCGTTTCTTAACATTTTGATGGGATTCTTGAGTGTAAACTATAGTCCCAAATGTCTAGTTTTCACTTCACTACCCATATATCTTATATGTGTTAAGTCAAAAGATGATCCGCTAAATTTAGAGTTTTAATGCTAACAAATAAAGAATTTTTATATAGAAAAAATGTCTATGAAAATTTCTTTGAAACATATCTTTGAAAGACTTATCAAATGAAGTGTAAGACATAAATCATCTATAAGATGATTGTTAATTAGACAAAGCATACAGTCTGTCTCATATGCATTAAATATTTATCATTTTTTGAGACTAATGATAAAATTTGATTTAAATGTTTCATTCCTTAATAGATCGAATCAAAAGACCATCTTAAAACTCACAAATCTATTAAAGAAAAGAACCATGCTTTCTACCAGAACCAAATCCCTGAAAACACGAAGGAAAGTATATAAAGTCTCTATAATAGTTGCTCTGCATTGACATTGTTTCTGCAAGCTCCATTTGGTATGGAAAGTTAATAACTAGCCTCCTTGATCAGATAAGAGGTACTATTTGGTGAAATGCATTTAATGCTCATATTAAATGTGTCAAACGATTACCTACCACTACAAGGAAGATGATGAAGACAGACAAAACAAACTTGTGAGTAAGACTCAGAGTGTAACAACCTTGTAATACCTTGATAACTGTTATTATAGGGTAGAGCCTGGAGAGACTTGATTATAAAAGAATACTTGGGTAGAAGCTTGAAGATGTCAATCAAAGAACACTTGTTGTAGAGCTTGGAGAGACTACTTGTTGAAAGAATACTTCAATAGTGGCTCGAAGAGGTCAATCAAAGAACACTTATTGTAGAGCCAAAAGTGGCTTGGGAAAGAATACTTGTAACTTTGCAAAGATAGTGAAACTTGATCGAATTGATTAAGAACTAAATGTAGTCTCATGATTGAGATGAACCAATATAAAAATATTATGTGTTCTTTACTCTTAACTCTTTGTCTGTATTCATAAGGTTTTGATATTAACACCAAGTATTTTTTTTACAGATAAACTTCTCTATGCTTAAACCCAATAACTCAAAGTTATAAAAGGTTTACAAAATTATTTGGTCTTCCTTTCAAGACCTGATACAACAAATTAAGTACAAAGTTTTTTTAACAAAAAGAAAGAATATAGCTTTTACAATCAATTGATCTTTCCTTCTTTCTAAATTTCAAACTTCCTTTTATACAAATTTAGTGAAGATGATTGTTACAAATCCTTGAGCTTCTCTCTGATGGCTTGCTTCATCTGTCTTTTTCTTTTTCTTCTTGAGGAAAGAAGTGTTTGTTGGTATAATAAATGATTACATTAAATACCTTCACCAAATTGTCACTTCTTATTTGATCAAAAAAGCTACTTATCACCTTTTAGGTACCAAGTGGGTATAACCATGCATGTGTCAAGTTAGTGAAGCGTTGAAACAACTTTAACTACAACTTTGTGTGTTTGTCGGGACTTGCTTGTCCTTTTCTGACACAAAGCATGTCTTTCATTCTTTTTTGCAAATTGTAGGTACTAACGAAGTAGTTTTGAGTTTGATCTGTTAAGAAAACATTCATACATAATCACTTCCTTTATAGAGATCATAAATGATGAAGATTTAATGCATATTTCTCTTTAGAAATAAGACTTTGTTTTAGAGCAATTATCGTCTTATACAAGGATTGATCTTATGGAAGATTTTGTTTTAGTGAGAAAGTGTGTCGTCTAAGAAGATTCATCTTATGAAAGATTACATCTCAGTGAGAAGTTATGTCTTCTAAGAAGATTCATCTTAATCATTTCAAAAACTTTTCTATTAATCAAAAACCTCTTTATTTGCTAACAACAAAACTCTAAACTAGAGGGATCTAACATTGTCTTTTGACCTAACAAGTGTCTTGTGAAAGAATACTTGTATCTTTGCAAAGATAGTGAAACTTGATCGAATTGATTAAGAACTGAATGTAGTCTCGTGATTGAGATGAACCAATATAAAAATATTATGTATTCTTTACTCTTAACTCTATGTCTGTATTCTTAAGGTTTTGATATTACTTCGCTATTTCAAAAAAATGATGAGTTTTTTTTATTAATACTGTTCAACGCCTTTCTAGTGTTTTTCTTTTCTCCACACGAATGTTATTCGAAAGCTAACATCCAAGGCTATAACTTCTATGAAGATCTCAAAACTTAATTAAATCATTTAAGGCTCTTCTAAAGGCTTACAAATTACAAACATTACTTTTTGCGCTCAAATCGTGAGACTCATTATTTAACTCACATAACTTGATTTTTTTTTAACATTTTGATGAAAATCTTGAGTGTAAACTATTGTCCAAATGTCTGGTTTTCATCTTAATAAATGAATATCAATTTAGTTAATCACACAGGAAGAAATCACCTAAATACTAAGGCATGTTCATATAAAAATTTTCAAAATTAAATAAACTAGACAAAAACTCTCAAATCATACATACAGCTCTAATTCCCAATTTATTTACCATTCTTAACATATCACAATCAAATCATCAAGATCAACAAATTTCATCACCATCCACAAACAAACACAACAACGATTTCATTATGATACTCAGATCATCAAACACATACCAAAATAATTTCTTAGAGGCTTAGGAGTCACTTTACTACCCATATCTCTCATATGTGTCCACAAGGTGATACAATCTCACTCCCTCTCTTAAGTGATGATTTTGCAATGCAACTCACTCCTTGTAGGTTGTAGCCTTAGCCATTACTTCACACTCTATCTAATGATATCCTTTAGTTTCTCCATTCTGAGTTCTTAGGATTTTAGAAAAATGATGCATTATATGACCTAACCCCCTTCTTATTTTTTTAAGATTTCAGATTGAACTTAAGAGTCCAAACCCATAAATTCTTCTCTAACCCATCCCTTAAACTCTATTTTATTTATTAAAAAATATTATTTATATTATAAATTTAATTAAATAAACTAATTAAACCTATATTATAATATTATTTAATTATTTTATTTTATTTTTATTTTTGAGAACCAAGATGTTACATATTTAAGATTTTAAATTTGTCTCATTAAATTTATTTATATAAAAATTATTAAATCCAACTAAAATTCAAATAAAAAATTTCATAAATATAATAAAAATAACGTAAATATTAGTAAAAAAACAACTTAAAAAATAAAAAATTATAATTTTATATTATATTCGATTTTTATTATATTTATTACGCACTTAAATTCAAGCATTAATTAAATTTTATAATTTTAGTGAGCCAGTACTAGTTTACTGTAATCTGTAACTATATAAGAATCACTTGGAGTCCATCCCTCTGCTTCATGCGTTTGCCTTGTTGGCGGCGCAGGTTACAATTTCAAGCTTAAAATGCGCATCATGCTCTCTAAGTTGATCCCTCCAATTCCCTTATTGAGAAGGAAATGGAATCCAAAAATGGCGAGCGTGCGATGGTTCTCAGTTTCTCCCATAGACATGGCTGCAAGAGATGGGGAACTTAGGGTTTTCCTTGTCGCGGGTGAAGCTTCTGGAGATTCCATCGCTTCTCGCCTCATGGCTTCGCTCAAAACTCTCTCCCCTTTTCCTCTTCGCTTCGCCGGCGTTGGAGGGTCAGTAATGTGCTTTTTCTCTCTCTCTCTCCTTTTATTTCTTTACCCTAACTTTTAATTTTGATTAAATGTTTGTTACACCAAGTTAGTTGTTCCCTCAATTTACTGCAATTTCTTACTTTAAGGTGTTGTTTTTACTGCAATTAATCACACTAATTAAGGATTATTAGCTTACAACAAAAATTTGCATTTAACAAGTCAGTCAAAATTAATACCGTTAGTGCAATAAAATAAGAAGTAGCAACACCACCACTCACTCTCACACTTTCTTCCTGTACTCTCCTTATTATTTGGTGCATTTGACACATTGGTCCAAATTAACATGGTTAGTTCAACAAACTAAGGAAGGACCAATTTGGGGGTTAGTTTGGATAACTTTGTGCAAAAGCACATTTTGGAGAAGAAAATAGAAAAGAAAAATAAACTTGTTCATATGCTAAAATTAACTTATACATAAGTTAAAAATAATTTTTTTGAGAAGGTAATATGAAAGAACTTCTATAAATTAGTTTATGCATGTACTAATTTTAGCTTATGAAGATCTTAACTTCAATTTTCCTTTCTATTAGTGCTTTTGTATCCAAACAGACTGTTGGGTCTATTTGGTTTAAAGGAGAAGAGGCGAGGAGAAGGAAGGGGTTAGAAATTTATTTTAGTTAAATTTTAATGGACCAAACCAAACATGTTGGTCTATTAGAGACATTTTTAATGGGTTAAATGAAACTTTTTAAATTTAGTAACTGAATCAAAATAAAATGAGATGAGACATCAAAATAAATTTTATTCAAAATTTTAATTCCTAGATATAAGTTTAATATTTAATCAATTCAGGGCTAAGATGGCGAGTGAAGGGTTGCAATCTCTGTTCCCAATTGAGGATATTTCGGTAATGGGACTTTGGGAGCTATTGCCACATTTGTATAGAATCAGAGTGAGTGCTTCGGTTTATGTGATGTAATCATGCTTTGCTACGTGTATTAATCAGTTTGATAAGTGATTTCTAAACTGAGAACAGTTGCTGTGATTTTTCAATTTGTTTTCCACTAAATGGGTGCTTTTGAGAATCTGTTCAATATCTTATAGATAAATAAAGTCTTGGACATAGAATGTAGTACGTAGTTGTTACTTGAAAAATGTGGTTACACGCACGGATAGCAAATAGGACTCATCACAGGTATAATTCTAGTGTAACGTATAAAATCTACATGTATACAAATTTTAAATCAGGAGAGAATTGGTTTATTTAACCCAAGTATTAGTCGTTGTGGATATATTGATGTGCTACATCTGTCAAATTACTGGGATATTTCCATTTATATAGTTATAAAAGTTTAGAAGACAAAAGAAAAGGTGTTAAATGCAGATAGGAGCATTCTAAGTGTCTGTGAAGTGTTTCTAGTATGGAAACATTTTCGACATGGTTACTATTATAGTTATACTTATAACGGAAAGTGACTGTTAGTTCTTCATTCATTTGATACTTTTATTACTAAGGGATATCTCATGATTTTTACTATATTTTGAATTACTTTTGAAGCTTATGTATATGGAATTTTATTTGTTTCACATGTGAATTCCTTGTGCATTTGTTTTCAGGTGAAACTGAATGAAAGTGTCAAAGCAGCTGCACTATTTGAACCTCATGTTGTAATAACTGTTGATTCTAAGGGCTTTTCTTTTCGGTTCTTGAAACAGCTTAGAGGTACTACTACTAATGCACTCTCCTTGCTGGAATAACTTCTGCATGTTTGGTTTTAGAGTTACACTTTATGCCAAATGGGGTATTTCCTTTTGCAGATAGATACAGTCACAAAAAGTTGCATACGCCAGCACACTTTCACTATGTAGCACCATCATTCTGGGCATGGAAAGGAGGTGAAGCTAGACTCAGAGGACTAGCAGAATTTGTGGATCATCTATTGTGCATACTTCCAAATGAGGACAAAATATGTAGACTGAATGGATTGTGTGCAACATTTGTTGGGCATCCAGTCCTGGAAGATTTTCTGGAGTTGAATTTGGTATGATATCGGAATATTTGATAATGCTCTTATTGGGTTTATCATAAAGCTTGTATGTGTTTATGTTAGGCTATAGAATGAAGGGAATTGGAATAGTTACTAATCAGAGGGATATTATGGGTCAGACCCATCATATCTACAAATAGGAGGATATTAGGGTTGTCATATCTATAAATAGAAGGATATTAGGGCTGTGGGGAGGCATGCATATTAGTAAATCTTTGTGGGAATAGAGCAGTGACTATTGGAAATGGGGAAACCCTTGGAGGATAGATTGGTCTCCTATTTCTTGTTCTTTTCATCCTATTCAATAAAATCTTTTTATTTTCCCACTTGTAAATTTTGGTTCCACAGTTTATTAGTGATTTTATGGATTATCATGTTTATTGTTTTTAATTCTCCTCTCTTCTACAATAGTAAGCCAAAATCTTTTTGTTCTCTTGGATTTCTAATCCTTCCATAATCCATATTTAAACTCAATCCTTGCCCATCATTAAAAATATAAAATTAGTTCTCTCATGTCTCTTTGATATCTTGATCTGTAACCAAAACTTTTCCTTCTTCATCCTTATTGTATTTTACTTGGTCCAAATTATTGATTTCCTTTTCTTAATTTTGGCATGCTTATATTTCCAGATAAACAATTCCTCCACTCATGAATGGAGGGCTGAAGGAAATGGTGAAGACTTCCGAAATAAGCATGCAGTGCCAGCAGGTACTTCTAATCAAATGACATTCCACAACTTCACATATTTATTTTTAAGAAAAAGTTTACTATTTTATAATTTATTGTTTATGGTAATTGCATGTATGAGCTCATGTTTAATATTTCGTTAGTCTGATGATTTGCTTTCTTGCTCCCTCTGTGGATATTTGTTCAAGCATAATGTCCCAAAATCTAGACTTTGGAGCAGAAGTTAAAGTTTTACAAGAAAAGAGATATAGTTCATATTATTTTGCTTAACATTGAAGTCATAATTTGTTTTTTCACAACAACAATACTTTAAAAGGAGCCACTGTCATTAGCTTGCTTCCTGGAAGCAGAATACAAGAAGTCAGTCGGATGCTTCCCATCTTTTCAGACACGATGGAACTGATGAAAAACATGGTTCCGCAGTTGATGACAGTCATTCATGTTGCACCTAATGAGCATGTGGAAAATTTCATAGCTGGTGCTGTTCATAGATGGCCTGTGCCAGTTATATTGATTCCAGGTGGAACAACTCAACTGAGATATGATGCTTTTAGTGTAAGCCCCTTTGTCCCGCATGACTTCAATTTACCAAAAAATACTTGACACATTTTGCCAAAACATGTAACTGTAGCAGAAAATTGGTCTGAGACTTCTGATAGACATCTAGATCTGACAATTGTCCTTATGGTCTATTGTAGAATGCTTACAGATTCTAGCTTGCTTGAGTTCCAGTGGACAGTTAAATAGAATAATACTTGAATCTAAACATGCAATTACATAATAACTGTTAATTTTTCAAAAAGTTGTGATTCTGTTCAAATGAGATTCTGAGTTTAGCTTAGCCATATCCATCTGCTTCCCAGTCCCCTATATAATGCATGAAGGCTGCACTTTGTGCCTTGTTAATTCAAATTAACTTCATTGTAGGCAAGTAGAGTTGCGTTATGCACATCTGGGACAGTTGCTGTGGAGCTGCAGCTTGCACGATTACCTTGTGTTGTGGTGTATCGTGCCCATATTTTGACAGAATGGTTTATTCGGTACAAAACAAAGATCCAGTACATATCACTTCCCAATATTCTCTTGGACAAGGCCATTATTCCTGAAGCCCTCTTTCAAAATTGCAAACCAGCAAACCTAGCCTTGTTGCTCAAGTAAGAGTGAAACTAAAATTATTTCAATTGCATTACTAATTTTAGAAGAAAATGAATAACAGTTGATAGGTCTCAAGCTGAGAATTTATTAGTTGCCGGCAGTATTTCTCTTTGGAATGTTTGACACTTGTTTTTGCCTCTACATTACAGTGATTTAATACATGATAACGATTGTCGAGAAGAACAAATACTTGCAGCCCACAAGTTTGTCAAGCTTCTATTTCCTTCAGAGAGAATAAAGTACCACCTTCCACAACAAAATTTGATAGGAGCATATCCTGATTACACTCCAAGTGCACTTGCAGCATTGGCTGTATTAAACCATGGTAAGCCAATGACTAATATCTAAGGACATCTATTTATGCGAGGGCACTCTGGCATGGGATATTTTTACTGCGAAGATTGAAGGTTTGAAGCTAGAGAATATTTTCTTTTGATAGTTACTGATAAAAGTAGCATTCAAAAATGTAGTATCAATTTAGGAATAAACATGGAATCAGAAAAGCATTGGCATTGCTCCATATTTTGTTTCGGCTATAACCCAAATATTCCTTGGCCCCAATTTTTCTTTTTCTTTTTCGGCTGTGTTTTATGCTATATTTATAAAACTAGAACACATACATACCTCAGCCTTTTCGGCTCTGATTGCATGAATTGATTGAAATGCTATCTCGAATGTAGATTTAGTTTCCCTTGTGTGGTTGCTCAATGCTTTTCCACAACATACCTCAGCCTCTTCAACTTCATCACCATTGCTGGTGTCTGTATCACAATTTTCCTCAACAGAATAAGACTGGACAAAACAATCTTCATTGACAGATTTGTCCTTTGGATTCCCACCACTTGAACTATCTAATTCATCAATTTGCTGGCATAATTGCCTTATGTCATCCATCCTCACTGACATTTACATTACATGCTCATTAGTATCACTATCTATGTTAGATACAAGAGAGCGGTTTAAGCTGACTCATCTGATTCGGCCTTCAGGGTTTCCTGCACATTATGTCCGTCTTAACTCCCAGCTGAGCTATGAACATCAGCCTCTGCTCTAATAGTTTCTTCCAGATCCATATATAACACAATGTAATTCAAAGATTTGTATTAGTTTAATCTTTCAGAAACTACTACAAGTGACAAGTCCAGGAGTATACCTTCAAGTGTCGAATTTTATTACTCAAATCAATATCAGGCTCCGTTACTACATTGATAACTGGCTCATTTCTAATGGATCTTAGTAGCTTCCAATCAACAAATGCAATCTTTATTTCTAAAACTCAAATATCCTTCCACTACACACTACACATGAATAAATTTGGTCTTCAATCCAGGTAAAAATACCTGTTAGACATTTCCACCAATTGATTCCTGTAGCAAGCGCGTTAAACAGGAGTCACTATGGAATTGGAATGTCTTCGTGCATGTTTGGGTTTCAATGCAAACGTGAATTTTCACGTTTAGTTGAAGCAAAGAAATTTTGCTTCCACGTAAAATTCATATTCAACGTGGAGAGAGTGTAAAATCAAGTTTGTTAGACAGAGGATTCTCTAAATACACAATTGAAATATAAAAGTGGTTACAAATAGAAAGCAATCATGGTCATGTACTTTGACCATTAATTAGTGGTAGAAGCATCTGACTCACAAGTACTAGGACAAGGATACTGCTCCTCAAAGAATAAAACAAGACAGTTAATAAATTGAGTTATCTAGCACAGCAAAAGAAAAGTAAAAGAATGTTAAAACATAATTATAGACACTTCCTTACAAGAATATTATTATTATCTTTTCAACAACTATCAATATTACCACCACCCACCATTACTATCACACACACACATACAAAATTAGTATGTAGGTTTTATATTTTGTTAGGTTTTAATTTTTGTTATGTAATTAGTAGATTTTACTTTTTGTTAGGTTTTACTATTTGTTTGTAATTAAACATGATTAGTAGGTAGGTTTTACTTTTTGTTATGTAATTAAACATAATTAGTAGGTAGGTTTTACTTTTTTGTTAGGTTTTACTTTTTGTTATGAATTAGTAGGTTTTACTTTTTATTATGCAATTAAACATTAAGTTAAAAAACCATTTTATTAAAAAATATAAAAATCCATTTTATAGTAAGTGAACAAATATTATAAAAAAATATATTCATATAATAATTAATATAACATTAAACCAGAGAAAAATAAAAGATATAATAAAATATTTTTTTAACGCAATTAATATATTAATGTGCATCTGTGTCAAAAGTTTAATATCATTTGTTATATTTATTAGTAACTTAATTATTAACTAGCAGATATTAATATGAAAACACAAATGATTATAATGCATACAAAAACCATTCACCTAGTCTAAATGTAGTGTATGTGGTTATATGAGTCTAAGCACTAAAAATAGAGACCTAAAACAAAAACAAATGGCTTAGTAGTGGTGGAGCAAAGGCCATAGAAAATGAGTGTATAAGAGAAGTTTTAAGGACACTTAGAGCTAGTTTTGGTTTTAGTTTTATCCTTTTTTTGTTCACTTTTTTTTTTGTTATTTCTTTCACACTTTATATTCAGGTTTTAATGTTCAATTAAAGCACAAAAGACTCTAGGAATTGCTGTCCTTAAATTTTTAAGTAAGAGTTAACAAGTGAAGTTCACAAAAATATGACACTAGAACATGTTAGATCTAATAACATGCATATGATTCATATAATGAGCACTTGAGTTGTGCAACCAACAATGTTTATTTTTCTAAAATAGAGAATAACGTGCAGCTAGCAAAGCTTCTTGAATGGATCTTTTACTCCTTAGACTCTTTCAAGCTTCTTTAGTGGCTCTCATTAATGTTAGAAGCCAATTCTAACACACAAGAGAAGATAGAAACTCTCTTAGGTGACGCCACACTCTTAAAGAGTGATAAATCTCTTCAATTTCTCATCATATTTAAGAGAGGATAAGAGAAAAGGAAGAATCTCAAAGAGAAAAATAAGCTTTGAGAGAGAGAATTGGAGAATAGTTTTCAGCCAAATCTCAACAATATGCTCAAAGTTATGTACAAATGGTTCCAAGCACCTATGTATAAAGTTTAGATAGCTTGGAGAAGAAGCTAGAGCCTTAGGTAGCTTAAAGAAGAAGCTAGACATCTAGGAGACAAGGAGACACTTAGATCTAGTTCCACCAATCACAAAAAATCCCTAGGAGACATATTTGAGACATGTAGGAGACAACTAGATCTAAAAGATCTAATGAGTAAGTGTCAAGTGTCCTCTTATCTCTTGGTGGTTAAAGAAGTAGTTCCAAGGGTAGAAGCTAACCAAGGTGTCCTTGGCTAGTCTTGGTCAAACCAAAAATCAAAGAATTGGTTTTCTTTGGTTAATCAAATGAAGATTAAACCAAGCCAAATCAATTCCTTAGGTCAAGAGAAGAAAAACAAGTTCAATATCACTTTTGACTATTTCCACACATTTACTACTTCCACACCATCTAGAATGGCTATTGCCAAACTACTAGAATGAATATTTCCACTCCAACTACTAAACTGAAAAAAACTAAAATATGGTGACCATGAATATAATGTCAAATGGAATACATTTCAAAAAAGAACATGTCTCTAAATCTTAAAGGTATGACCTAAAAATCAAATAAACATACACCCCCAAATACAAGGCAAAAATAACCTATACACTTAACTATTAGATGCAAAAGAATGGAAAGAAAACTATACAAAGTATATATAATAGAAGATTAAGCAACTTTGAGGAGAACACATACTCTATGTTCATGATAAGTAAAGGTCTAAGAAACACATTTTCTCTTATAGCTTCCTCTAGCCTCGTAACCATATACCTTGTCATAGGTCCTATGGCCTTTAAGGATAGTCCTCCATTATAGACTCTAACCTTCACCCTTCTTGGACTTATCTCTTCCGAAGAGATTCTTGGAATTTAGGTTTCCATCAAAACCCTTCCAATAATAATAAAGACAGAATAAATATTTAGTTAATGTTATCAATTGTTGTATATTTTTTTAATTAAAAGATAACAACTTCAATATTTTTAGAAATGATCATTTCACAAAAAATTAAGCTAACAAATGGCTAGTCATTAAATTCCCACAATTAAATAACACCAAAGATAAAAAAGTTTATTCAATTAAGGCCTTTGATTGTTGCATACTAGAATAACTTTTAAAAGAAAACAATTTCTATTTCACTCCATGCACAAAATTCATGATAACAAATGACTATTTCATAAACTTTTATGATTTAAGTGATATTAAAAGGCAAAAATGTTACTCAATTAATATCACAAATAATTGCATAAATTAAAATCATTTTTAATTATAATTACGAATGCATGAGTAAAAAACATGTATATTATAATTAAAAGAAATACAGGATAATGTCTCATATTTTATTTGTTATGTATTTTAATTTACAAAATAAAAGAAAACAAAAACGAAAGAAAAAGAAAAAACATGCTTGTGTACTTTTACTGCTACTCTTTTTTATAAGCAAATTAAGGGTGAAAAAAAAGTTTGAATAAATGGATAAAAACAAACTATGAGCTAAAACTCCTCTTAAAAAAATGATGTTTTTAAAAGAGTTAACATCAATGAAATTGATACATGTATACCAACATCAAAAAATGAAACAAAAAGAATAAATGAATAAATAAAATAATGATCTAAGTAAATAAGAAATTTTTTTTTGAGGTAATGCAATTGTGAAAGATGCAACCGTTAACCAAGACAATAAAAAATTTACAAGTGATAGCGGTAATCTAGAAATAAACACTATTGTAATAGTGGTACACCAGCAATACTGACGTAGTGATGAAATTTTAACAAGGAATGATTGATCCTCTTGGTATTGTGATGAATGGAAGATATGCATTGCCAGAAAGTGAAATTGTTTCCTCTTTTCGCTTCGATCTTCTCATTTTTCTTTCATCCCCCTTCTCGAGGCTGTAGGTCCCTTTTTGTAGATAAAAATACACTCCAATTGTGTATCCATGATTCCTTACAGTGATGACAACGGGGCAGGTCAGGTACGAGTTTTATGATACCTGTCCCCGTCCTCGCGAGTCAAATCCATTCCCGTCTCCCGTACCTGTCGGGTATATGATTTTCATTCTCATCCCCGTCCTTGTCGGGTATCGGGTATATCTGTATCCGTACCCGTCAATTTTTTTTTTTTGTAAAAAAATGATATTTTAAATTTATTTTTTATTATATTAAATTATAATTAGGTTATATCTCTATATCATATTATAATAAATAATCACAATAAAAACATATTAAAATTCTTTAATATAATTAAATTGAAAGTG